TTAATGAAATGAAAAATCATAAAACATTCTCTTTTTACTTAAGCAAAGTATCTCATTTTATACAATTTACACACAACTTTTAATTTTAGTAACAGAAACAATGAAATTATTTCATTTCTTGACATTTAAGAATAACAAGACTTTAACTCCCCAAGACATGCGCTACAACCATACCGTCCTGTCAGCAGTATGAAGGTCTTGGCATCTTTTACACTATGTTCCCACTTTAAATTAAGTCCTATTTACTAAAAAGAGAACAGGCGGTGACACTGAACGAGCAGTTCATAAAAAAGGAATACAGCCAATAACAACACTGATATATTAACCTCATTCGTAATGAAAGAAACACAAATTTAAAAAATAAGGTACCACTTTCCACCTATATTGGCCAAGATTACATTAAAAAAGAAACAGTATCTATACACGGGCAGGAGTATGGGGGGCGGTGAGAGAGGGGCACACAGAACACTAGCTGGCAGTGTAAAGGGTACAGCCTTTTTAGAGAACAGTTTGGCAGTATTTATCAAAGCCGTAAAAATGTTTAATCCTTTTGAACCAATGATTCCACTTCTAGAAATCTACTTTCTTAAGGACATAATTAAACACGTACTTCAAGATGTGGTTACAAAGGTATTCAGTGCACCACTGTTCACAGTAAAAAGAACAGACACTCACCACGCCTGACAGAGGGAAGAACGGGCAAACCGGCATGCCTCCCCGGGGGCCGGCAGCGCCCCCCCCCCCCGCGTCACTCCCCACACCCTGCCCTGGCTGCCTCCTCACCAGGAGTCCACTTCCCACAGAGGCCAAAAGTGTCTGCGTTCAGCTTTTGCAATGACCTGATCTGAGTCAACAGAAACTTTGGGGACATCTTCCGGGGCTGCTTAAGAGGGAAAGGTCTTCCTCACTGACGAAACTGAGATGCGAAAGGACAATCTTTCCTGCCTTTTTGATGCAATTTTTATGAAGATGTGAAGCCGTAAGTTACATCAGCACCTCTTGTGACCATGAAGGAGACAAGCCTGAGGCAAAACTGATAAACTGAGACTGAGGCAAAAAAAAGTCCTTAATGACCACACCTCTGACCTATATGTCATGTGAGACAATAAATGTCACTGGTTACTTAAGTCAATCATATATGAATGTTACCCCTGGTCAAAAACATCCTGATAATGACCGTACAACAGATTACTTTAGAGCCACTAAAAGTTATGCTACAGAATTCTATTTATAAACAGTAGATGTACAGCTAAGAGAAAAAAAATTAAAAACAGTATGCTCCCATGAAAACACCCCAAAAACAAAAAACAAGTATATCAATATGGATTTCTTGCCAAGAAAAAGGTCTGGAAAGATACTCCAGGTTTTAGGAATAATTACCTCTGAAACTGTTATCTCTGAAAGAAAGGAATTCAATTATTTCCTTCTTGCATATCTGCATTTTCTATTTTTTCCCTACAACGAACATGCATCACTTTAAGAATCTGCCACCGATCTCTATGTTTTCAGTCGATGCTATGTGACTTTGGGGAGGGAGAAGGGGTCAACGTGAATTCTAGTGAGCTATCTTGACCTGGGAGTCTGCCCTTTTAATGGGAAAAGTTTTTTTCTTTTTTAAACTGTTTTGTGAAACAAAACTTATACTATCAGGCATTGATTTTTTTTTTTTAGTGACTACAGAAGAATAGTTTTCATTTCCCTTTGTTACCAAGAAAATCACATCATGACTTTGTACCATTTCGTATTGGAATTTCTTCTGTGAAGCAAAAACAGTCCCAAAAGGAAGGATCTTCAGCAGTCATAGGGACAGCAGATGATATTAAATCATTAAAGCTGAGAACGGTAAACTGCCTCTGGGTTGGTTTAGAATCATCTTGAGATGTAACCTAAAAGGGAAAAAAATTAGATTACCTGAATGTTACACTGCGTATTGATCTTACGGTCAATTTTGTAACTAGGAAAATAAGAAATCGATGATTAGATCTCAGTAACATTAAATTACAACACAGTAGGAGTTCTAGATAACTGTTTTTACTTCTTGTATTAGTGTTGCCAATATAATAAAATCAAGAAAAATATGAAATAATGTGATTCTCAAACTTTTTGTAGATAACAGTAACCTACATTTGTTTAAAATGAGGATTTACTGAGTCACACATTCAACAATTCTGACTCAGTAGATGACATGAAAAGGATCCCCAGGTACATAACTTTAACAGGCAGGTGGGTTATTCTGATAGGGAGGGACCACCAAGCAAACTTCTGAGAAATACTCTAGTAGAGGGCGTAAGACTCTCGTAACCACAGAGATGCAACCCTTCATTAAGAAATGATTCACTCAGCACTAAATTTAACCTCTATCTTACACTCTGATGGAAGCCTTGTTCACAACTCAACCGAGCATGGACCATCTCTAACAGTCTGTCTATACATTCTAGTAAAGACAGTACTCACATCTTCCACCTGATATGACAAGGTCAGTAACCATTTAATATGATTTCTGTCTCACAACTAAGCTGATATGGTTGTTATCTCAATTCTACAGATGGGGAAACTGAGGCTCAGGAAGATCCATCAATGTATGCAAGCTTACAACACAGGTTAAATGGTAGACCTGGGCCTGAAACCCAGCCAGGCCTTCTGAGCAGTACCCTTGCCCTTTTCTGTCACTGCTGCCTAAAGGACATTGCTGCGTCTAGGGAAACAGAAATTACTGCCATGTGCAAATGTTACTAAAAAATATAAAGCTCTATTGAAAATAAGGTACTTGCAGAAAGGGTAATGCTGAGACTTGAGCACACAAGGACAGATAACCTGGGTCAGAACATCTTCAGATAACAGGGGTCAAGTTTAACAGGTCATCCCTTTTAAAGAAAGATTAATTTATGAAGAATTTTCATCTTTTTTAATCTATCAAAGGCATGATCTGTAGAGGGAGCTTCTTCCCTAGAGGTAATGATGCCAACATACTGATCATACCAGCTTCTCTCATGCAGATTCCCTAAAAATAGTAACGTAACGTGCATATATTTCGATTATTGTAACAGTTATCAGTATTCCTTAAATAAATACTTCAACAGAATTACAACTGTATGTAGGCTGAGAGTCAAGACCCTGAGGTTTCTTTTTTAAAAAATTTCTCAACTTACCAATTAACAGCAAAAGAAAGTAAAAATAGATTTTAATTGAAATAATTGATGTTATGCCAGAATGTCACGTCTGACACTGTAACTTTGGGAATAATTTAGGAGAGTGCTATAAAAAGGGGGAGGAGTTTAATGTGACAGCTAATTCCACTACTCAGTACCTTTGACTTGGAACCCTTATATTCAAGACAGCCTCAGATCACCAGGAAATGAACCACTTAAGATGACCAAGACAGCGCCTATCTTAAATTCCTACCGAAAATATAACTACTAGGACAGTATTACCAACATTTTTTCTTTGCAATATTTAAGTGTATTTGAATTAGAAAAAGTAGGTAAAGTGCTTTTAAAACATTTCTGTAAAATCCCAGATGATCTTAAGGATACTGAAAAACACGTCTAAAGTCTATATATTTAAAAAAAAAAGTCAAAACCACTAACCTAATATAAACCAAATGATTATTTCCATCAATAAATAACAAACTCAACATTAGTTCATATTTTTTAGAAAAAAGTCAGAGAAATTGTAAAATCTTACATCCTGATGTCTAGATCCATTGGGTTTCTTAAGAGCTACTGCAACAAAATGATGCTCGTCTATTTTGCTTTCCTGAAAAATAAAACGCAAGTAAACACAGAATACTAAATATGCAAACTTAGACCACTTCTATTTACATTTAAAAAACCTCTCTCTCTCCAACCCCCCCCCCACATATACATATATGCCTCCACTTCCCCTGAACAATTTAAGGAGAAGTCACGTAACTTTTGGCCCTGTGTTCTGAAATATTTCAATATATATTTCCTAACAGGGACATTCTCTCACATAACCACAGTAGCTAATAACTTTGGTAAATTTAACATTGAAATCATACTTAAATCTACTCTCTGTACTGCACATTTGGTGAATTAATCCAATCCTTTACACCATTTCCCTAACTCTAGGACAGGCAGGACTCAGTCTAGGGTCAAGTATTACATTCAGTCGTCATGTCTTGCTAGCTCTTCTTTTGTCTTTTATGACATTAATATTTTAAAATAAGCCCCACCCCGCAACCTTTTTATTAATACAACACTGCTCATTTTTGGTCTGATGGTTCTAGTGATTAGATTTAGATTATGCATTCCTGACATAAATGCAGTTTCCTATCGAGAGGCACACTTAGAAAGCCATCTGCCCTGACTGGTGACGTTAGTTTTATATATGCCTAAAGAGTAAATTTTAAAAAACTGGATCGCAACATTGGTTTATAAGCATTTAGCTTACCTACTATAGCCTATGGGAAATCATGGCAGAAATTCGTAACTTAAGACTTACAAAATGTACAATTTCCTACTTCCCCCCATGTATGAGACAGAGCGGGAGGGGGCTTTAAAATGTAATAGACTTGGAGGCAGTTACCAGAGAAAACTATGAATGACTATTAAACACTAAACAAAATTTCCCCCAAAAGCCACTTTACTAAGGCATTCTTCCATGAGATGTCAGTTGAAACAGCAATCAGAAATGATATGAAGGACTTTTCATCCTTCATCCTCTTCCTATATTCACACCTTAAGATACCAAATTAGCAAAAAATGAAATTCAAAAATGGTAACTTTAGGAAAATTTTTTCAAGAGGAAGAAAAATATAACTAGCTAAGTATGAGAAAAATTAATAGGTCAAAGTTTAATTATAAACAGAACTATTCTTTTTGATGCATGTTATCTCATTCTTTACACTAAATATATTGATAATATAAACATTACAATATACAGATGTTTTGTCTATAATTACTTCTGAAATCCCACTTAGATTAGCAGTTTTGTAGTATCTGTATCTAAGAAAAACAACAGAGGTAACCGGGGCAATAATCAGTTTCTATTCAGCCTGTCTGCTAAACTGCCGAGAAGCCCTGCTCAGTCTACCTACTTCCTTCATTACAAGCCAAAATTCAATGAAACTGCTATCAAAATAAAGACTCACCAGGTATCTACTCAGACCTCATCAACATCATATAAATATGCAATCTGACACAGCAAAACCAGAGAAGTTATTTCATAACGACTCAGTTACCAAACACTGATGTCTCACTAGAATAAAAGCTCTATGAGGTGATCAGTTTTGCCCTGAATCTTTTCTGCCTAAAACACATCTATAATAAATATTAGTTGAAAAAAGAAATGGAACCAGCAAGCTAGTTAGCTAGTTAAGCCAGTACATTCAATGCTGTTGAACTTAAGACTTAAATTGAAAAAGTTTCTAAATTTTCAAGATTTTCCCAAGCTTATAGTTTTTTATCCATAAAATTATTGTGAATACCAAAACTTCCTTAAAGTCTTCAACAAACCCAAAGGGAGCAAGAATATTTTATTTTTTCAAGAGATAGTAACATTCAAGTTTTACAATTTCTCCCCAACAGTCAAAGTACTGAAAAAAAAACATGTCATAAATGTTAATTTTTTTTAAAGCTTTCCTTTCAAAACCAAAGCAAAGAATTTCTATTTCATCTAATCTCATCGTTTGAAACTGTTTGGTGGTAACTTTCCTAACAGAAACTGGTTATGAAAATTGAGAGCCTATGAAAACTCTTGGCATGAGCTTTCTTTTTTTTTTTAAGAATATTACTTTTCCAGGTGTGAGATGCAATATTCAGGTAAGTGGGAAATCCTTTGGATTTGATGTAATAAATAGTGGACTCTTGATTATGTAACAGCTACAATACTAAGTGAAATATGGCCCCTGCCCTCAGGGAGTCGTGGGAAAGTGAAACAAGTAGGTAAGTACAAAGATTATGAGGCAAAATGTGGTATGCCGTAAGTGGTGGGGGGAGGAGCATGGTCTTGAAATAAAGAGGGCACCTGAGCTGGACTTAAATTGTTAAAGGAGAAAGCAAGGGGGAGACTGGGGCAGGGTGG